TGTGTGTGTGTGTGTGTGTGTGTGTGTGTTTAGAGACAGGGTTTCTCTGTGTAGCTTTGGTGCCTGTCCTGGATCTCGCTCTGTAGACCAGGATGGCCTCGAACTCACAGAGATCGCCTGGCTCTGCCTCCCCAGCCCAGATTCAGTACAGCCCTCCTAGTAGCTTGCTTCCAGACTCATTCTGCATGACCTCCCTGAGACTGGGAAGGTGCCCCACTAGCCTGCGGTCCTCACCCTCACCCTCCTCTCTCACACAGGGGTCCAGGTGATAGGAGAGACTGTGGGAGAGACCAGCTTCCAAGCCCGCTCCTCCAGGCTGCAAAGAAGGACCCGGCTAGTAGGGATAAAGACCTGTACTGTAAAGCACATACCACATATTTCAAGCAAGGCCCCGGGGTTCTCAGATGTTAGTTTCTAAATATCTATTCTAGAAGGAGCTGGGACGTCTGGGGGGAGTAGCTGATTCTAGGGTCGGGGCAGGGAAGGTGAGGCAGCGTGAGACTAAAAAGCTAGAGGGCCCCTAAAAGATGAACTAAGGGTCTAAGAACAGGATCTGGCTTGAAAGGATCTCCAAAGTTGTGATAGTCTAGTTTAAAAAAAAAAAAAAATGTAGGGAGCTGATAAGATAGTTCACCGGCTAAAGCCTGCCATACACCCCTGATGTCCGAGTTCAATCCCCAGAGCCTACAGAAAGGTAGGAGAGAACCAAAGTTTTCCACACACACACACACACACACACACACACACACACACACACACACAGCAGTGCACACACATGGTGCATGGACATACGTTCAGGCAAAAAAGTGCTGGGTTCAAACCCCAGAACTGCAAAAAACAAAAGAATGATTACAGATGATTAAAATGATGAGTCTTTAAAATTTAGGAGTCTGTGACGATAAGAAAACTAGAAAGGATACCACTGAGGAGGCTTGCCAGCCAATCCCTTGCTTTAAATATTAATTAGGGTCTGGAGAGAGGCCTTAGCAGTTAAGAGCACTTGTTGGTCTTGCAGAGAGGCTAAGTTTGGTTCCCAGCACCACATGATGATTCACAGCCATCCATAGCTCCAGTTTCAGGGGACCCGACACTCTCTTGAACTTCATGGGCACAAGGCACAAACACGTCACACAGACATGCATGCAGGCAAAATACTCAAGGACGTGAAATTAATGTTAACAAATAAATAATTAAATAATCAATCCCAGGCTGGGGATGCAGCTCAGTGGTGCCCGAACTTGCTAGCATGTGTGAGGCCCTGTGCTCCGCCCCAGCACCGTAAAACACAACAAAAGATGAAGATGAGCACACACCTTTAATCCCAGCACTGGGTGGGGGGAGCAGAGCCAGGCAGATCTCTGTGAGTTCGAGGCCAGTCTGGTCTACCGAGTGAGATCCAGGACAGGCACCAAAGCTACAGAGAGAAACCCTAAAAAAAAAAAAAAAAAAAAAAAAAAAAAAAAGATGGGCATGGAGGCCCTTGCTTGTAATCCTAGCACTCAGGAGGCTGAGGCAGGAGGATCATGGGTGAATTCTAAGGCTAGACTGGCCTACATATCAGGACCCTGTCTCAAAGAAAAAGAAAAAAGGAGGAAGAGGAGGAAGAACAGGGTCCTGTTTCAAAAAAGAAGCTGAAAAAGAAATATTGTTTTTTCCAGGGTTAACAACTTTGTTTCAGGAAACCTTACAGAAAACAAAATGTTAACCTGTTGGAAGAATAAGAGAATTGAAAATCAGATTTTTTTGCAAGCACTAAATAAATTGCTGTCCAGGCAAAGATGAACAGTTGCCAAACACAGTATGGCAAGTAGTTGATGAACTGGATATTCCATGGCTTCAGAAGGAAAACTTGACATCATGGAGGTGGGGCCAGACTGTCACCCTTGCATCCAGACCAGCAGTACACACTAGATAGACTCACTAGTGTTAGAGGGCCAGATCCCACCTGTCCCATGAGTGTCCCCTGATGTGAGGGACATCACTCTGATATGGCTTGTTTGTAAAACAATAATGGTTTTGTTTTATTTATTTGTGTGTGTGTGTGTGTGTGTATATGTGTGTGTGTGTATGTGGGGGTGGATACCTATCACGGTCTGACTCCCTGGAGCTGAAGTTCCAGGCATTTCTGAGCTGCCTGACGTGATGCAAGGAATCGACCTCAGGGTCTCTGGATGAATAGGAAGCACTCTTAATAGCTGATCAATCTTCCCAGCCCCCCAGATTTCTGTTTTTAATTTATTAAAGGTCTTATTTTATAGTTCAAGATGGCCTGGAACTCACAGCAACCCTCCTGTCTCAGCCTCCAAAGTGCTAGGATTACAAGTGTAAACTACATTGGGCAGCAGAGGGAAGGAGACAGGCAAGCAAATCACCATGAGTTCAAGACCGGCCTGGTCTACATAGTGAGTTCTAGGCTAGCCAGAGCTACCCAGTGAGACTCTATCTCAAACAGAACAAAACAAACAAACAAACCCCAAGGGCTAGCTAGATGACTCAGTAGTTAAGAACACTTGCTGCTCTTGCAGAGGACCTGGCATTCACCTGGCAGCTCACAACTGTCTTGGATTCCAGTTTCAGCGGATCTAACACCCTCTTCTGACTTCTGAGGATACCAGGCACACATGTGGTACACAGACTTCCATGCAGGCAAAACACTCATACACATCAAATAAATGTAACTAAAAAACCCAAAACACTAAAAGCAAAAACTTGTCTCTGATGGAACCTTGACCAGGATGCTTAGCGGGATATTAAACCTGTCTTTGTATCTCATTTCACAGGAAACCAGACATGATTAGACCCCAAAGTGGGACACTCTGCATGCCCCATGCCAGGACAAGTTTAGGCTGAGGAATGGTGGATGCTGAGCTGAATGGCCTAGGTCTGGCACCTGCCTTCTTGCAAAGTCAACAACAGCAATAATGATGCCGAACTATGGACACTGTAACCCTGTACCGGACCACAGCAGCTGGAAAGGCAGTTTCACGACAACTAGGAAAATCTGAGCTTGGACTGGCTATCTGGTGATACTAAAGAATTGTAATGAAATATATTCAGAGTAGAACTTTATGGATGTGTGTGTACATATACATACATACATATACATACACTTTTTTTTTTTTTCTTTTTGGCTGGCTTAGGACTCAGTGTGTAGCTTAGGCAAGCCTCAAATTTCATGAATCCTCCTGACTCTGCCTCCAGGGTGTTAGGATTGTAGGTATGCTGTAACAATCTACTTAAGAATGCTGAGGATCAAGCCAGGTGGTGGTGGCACACGCCTTTCATCCCAGCATTTGGGAGGCAGAGGCAGGTAGATGTTTTGAGTTCTAGGACAGCCATGGCCACACAAAGAAACCCTGTCACGAAAAACTTGAAAACAACAACAAAATGCTTAGGATCAATGAGAAGGGTTAGCAAGAAAGGATGCTTGCAGCCAATACTGATGACCCTACTTTAATCTCCAGGACTCACATGGCAATTGTCCTGTGACCTCCACATGTGTTCCAAGGTATGCATGCACATGTACACACACACACACACACACACACACACACACAGTCACCCCCCACCCCATTTTAGCCAGGCCTGATGTCACAGGTCAGTGATTTCAGTTAGGGTAGCAAAGGCTAGCTTTAAACTTCTCTTCTCCCCTCTTGGTGGTGCTAGGTTGAGCCTAGAGCGCCCTGGCTCCTAGGGAAATGCCCCATTGCTGAGCTGTCTCCCAGCCTGCCCCAGCCACTCCATCATCTATAAAACAGACTCCAATTTCAAATGGGCAACTTAGTAAGACCTTGTCTCAAGTAATAAACGAGCTGGTGATGTGGCTCAGGGGTAGAGCCCTTGCTTAGAAATCCCTAGTACAAGATGGGGGGGGGGTAGCTTGGGAAGGGGGATCCTTGGCATTTCAAGTGGGTAAAAGGTAAAACAGAAAAATGATGCTATGGGGGAGGGGAGGCAGTGTTGAAATCCCTGTCACCAGGGCTCAGATCCACCATGCTCAGTAGGTTAGGGGTCACACCAGAGATCTCCAAATAGATCGAGCAGGCCCATGCCTGTTTTGGACACCCTTTAACGAGGCTTCTCACTAGGGTGGGCACCAGGAGACTTGGGGCCACCCCGTGCTTCATCACTGGCTATTAGCCATCACAACACTAACAAGAGAGCCCATTGGAGGAGATTGCCAGGTACCGGGGACTGCAAAAGCAGTTCAGTGAAGGTCGCCCATGTTGTGTGCCCCCAGGTAAGCGGAAATTCTCAGACCTCAATTTCCTCTTCTGCAAAAGGGAAATAAAGCCAGGAGTGGTGGGGAAGGCCTGTAATCTCAGCTTTGGGAGGCTGAGGCAGGGGGATTGTAAATTCTAAGCCTTTGGGCTACATAGCAAGATCATGCCACAAATAGACAAAAGCCATATATGTGTGTGTGTGTGTGTGTGTGTGTGTGTGTGTGTGTGTATGAGACAGAGAGAGAGAGAGGAAGGGAGAGAGAGAGAGGAAGAAGGAGGGAAAGGGAATGAGAGGATATCAGTAAATCAGCAGCAAGGCAAAGAACTGGTCTAGATTAAAAAACATTTATGCAGGGGGGTGGGAGGATGGGGGTAGGGGGAGGGGCATACTCCTTTAATCTCAGCACTTGGGAGGCAGAGGCAGGCGGATCTCTGTGAGTTTGAGGCCAGCCTGGGCTACAAAGTGAGTTTCAGGACAGCCAGAGCTATTACACAGAGAAACTCTGTCTCAAAAAAATGGAAAAAAAATAAATAAAATAAAAATATAAAACATTTAGGCCAGCTGGGTGGTGGTGGCACATGCCTTTAATCCCAGCATTCGGCGGGTGGAGGCAGGAGGATCTCTGTGAATTCGAGGCCAGCCTGGGCTACAGGGCTAGTTCCAGGACAGCCAGGGATGTTACACAGAGAAACCCAAAAAAGCAAGGCAAAAAATAAAAAGCAAAACAACAACAAAAATAACAAAGAAAGAAAAGTTAAAAAAAAAAACAAAAAAAACAAAACAACAACAACAAAAAAAAAAAACCAAAAAAAAAAAACCAAAACCACAAAAACAGGCGCCCAGGCAGAGTGGCTCATGTCTATAATCCCAGCATGCCCAAGCCTGAGACAGGTAGATTACCAGAAGAGCAGCCTGGGCTACATACTGAGTCCCTGACCAGCCTAGGTTATAGGCCTGAGTCCCTGTCTCACACAAGACAAATGAAAACACAACAAAAGGATACTTAGAATAGGAGTGTAAGCCGGGCGGTGGTGGCGCACGCCTTTGATCCCAGCACCCGGGAGGCAGAGGCAGGCGGATCTCTGTGAGTTCAAGTCCAGCCTGGACTACAGAGTGAGATCCAGGATAGGCACCAAAACTACACAGAGAAACCCTGTCTCAGAAAAAAAAGAATAGGAGTGTAACTGTGCTCTGAACTGCTCTGCATGAGATGGGGTGCGGGGAGATGAAAGGTGCGAAGCTGAACTGTGGGGGTAAACCCCAAATCTAGGAACAGGGTGCCAGTTGAAGGCCCTCAGTGACCCCATCTCCAGTGAAAAAAGCAGACACTTGGTGGCCCTTCCAACTCTGAGAAGTGACTCCCTGCTTGGTTTTTCTTGGGCAGAGATGGGTGATCAGTGCAGGGTCCCTCTTTCCTAGTGGGCTCTTCCCACACTCCCCCGACCCATCAATGGCTTCCCTGACCAGAATAGCAGCTGCACCATTCTTGGCACTGAGCAGCGGACAGGTGGAGTCACGGGGTCAAAGCCCCTCACAGCTGACTGAGGAATCCAGAGGAGAGTTCTGAGGCACCCTCGCCCGATCTTTTAGTGAAGGAGGCAGGCACTCACCTGCTCCCGTGGCTGGGGCTTGCTCTCCAGGCTCTGCAGTCTCCTCTGGACATTCCTCATGCTTTCCTGCATGGCCCGGACTGTCCCTACCAGCCATCTGTCCAATTCCTGGGGTCCCATCAGGCTGCCTTCCAACCCCTCTGTGGAGCATAGAGACACAGGGAAGGGGGCTCAGGAGAGAGACAATCTGCACAAGCTGGGGCAGGTCCAGAGAAGTGTAAGAGTGCTGTCCCTGTCCCCAGTGAGGTCTTTACAAGGTCCATCCGTTCAGAGGACTGAGTAATGGGCTGCTGGAACGCAGCTCAATCCTAGCATTTGCCACTGATTAGCTATGTGACTCTGGGCAAAACATTCACTTCTCCGAGCCTTGTTTTAGCTCCTGAAAATTAGGGGGAGATGTCCTCTTCCTCAGGCACCTGGTCTGCTCAGGGGAATCAACAACCAGTTCATGAAAGTATCCCTTTGGCAATTTAGCACACAGGAAGTTCTAACAGAGATAAAGCAGACAGAACTCACTGTCGTCCTCTGAGAATTCCAAAAGGGAGACACAGAGAGAGGACAACTTCCCAATGCCATGCACCTGTGTCTGTACGTTGCCTTTGCTGAGGGTCAGAGGCCAGCCACCTCAGGAAGAGCGGGGACAGGGATTTTGCTCTCCTGGGCAGGCATTTGCCTGTCGGGTAGCCCTCCCAGGCTGCTCTCAGTGGGCCCACGGGACTTTCACCTTTGCCCACGGGACTTTCACCTTTGTCCTAAGAAAGCAACCCAGGGAAGGCTTGGGGTACCAGGGCTATGGGCGGGGTAGAGAGTTCACCTTTCTCACTGGGGGGCTCAGGGCTGCTTCCGGTGTCCAGCTCTCTGCCGGTTGCTCCCCTCTGCTCTGCCCAAGGCTGCTGAGATGAGTCCCAGGTCTCAGGGGGGAGGCGGGGCGGCTCTGGCCCAGCGGGAACAGGGGACAAGAGAGACGGTCTCACCAACTCTGGCTCTAGCTGCTCCAGGGAGTCACAGAAAACCTCCAGCTCCAAGTCCCGGGGTGGCGGGGACTCTGGGGGAGGGGAGAGGAAAGGCTCTTGCCAAGGGCAGCTGCACTGGGGTTGGGGTTCCTGCTCCAGAGGGAGGGGAGGGCAGGCAGCTGAGTACCAAGCCCTTCCTTAGGGGACCTAGAGTTCTTGCCATAGCGGGAACGGTGGGCCCAAGACAGGAGACCCTGACGACAGTCTCGGAGCCTCCCCTTGGCCTCGGAGAGCACAGGAAGTCTCAGTGTCCCTGGACATACGCTCTAAAGGGGGCAGTGTGACATCGAGCTTCTCCCCTCCTGGAGGTGTCCCTTCCCGGCCTCGGTCTGGCTCTGGGTCTCTCCTGCCCAACACTAACCTGGGCTTGGAGGAGGTACAGGCTCCTTGGGGAGGCAAGAAGGCTCTGGAGCAGTCTGATCGTCTCTCTGCGGCACTGGCTCTTTCCAACCTGTCAAGACACCCCAGTCCTCAGAGGGGGCAGGGAAGGGGCTGGCATCTTCCAGGGAGATCAAGTCCCTTGTCCCCATTAGTCACGCTGGTAACTAGCCCAACAGGGGCACTGACTGAGGTCCTCACAGATGCCACACCTGTGGCCCTTTGCTCCTACTGCCCCACAGCAGCCACCCGCCAGCCTACACCTGAGACAGTTCACTCTGTGTTTTCAGGGCTCCCATCCTGGAGATCTGACCTGTGGCCCTTCTCAGGAAGGTGTCTGGGGGCCTCGGCATGTCAGGGATCACCTGGTACAGGGGCTCGAAATAACCAAACATATCCTCTGCCACCTCGCCCAGGGGCACTGTGTCGATCACCTGTGCGGAAAGGTTTCTAATGGGACAGGCAGGCGGCCCCTCCCACCCCACCCCCCATCCCCCTGGGGCCCAGCCTCTCCCCTTACTACTGCATTTTCATGCACCTCCACTTAGTATCTGCCAGGGTCAGATAGGATTGGGAGGAAGGGTAACAGAAAGGTGATGTCCCAAAGGACATCAAGGGACAGACAGGAAACATGGAAGCACAGCCCTAGAAGAGCGAGGAGCAGGCCGCCCTCGGGGACCGAGCTCTACAGCCTGCCCGCCCGCCGGCTCTACCTTTTGTGCAACCAGCTTCATCTCAGAGATGTAGGCGGACATGGCGTCCCTCCTGCTCATCTTGCCCAGGCTGTTCCAGGCATCCCTAGGAGGCAGAGAGAGGGCTGTGAGAAGCTGGATGGCGGCCGGGGCATTTTTAGCCCGGGGGGTAGGGGGGCTCACCACTTGTAACGTCCAATGGGGTCCCAGAACCCAGGCCGGGGAACCAAGCAGGGCCCCATGGTAGCTTGCTTGTAGTAGCTGTAGAATCGCAGCATCTCTTCATAGGAGGGGCGGTAAGAGCCTGAGCGAGGGTTGGGAGGCAGAGGGCACCTCATCAGCCCCAGTTCTGAGAGGACAAATAAAGGCTGCACCTTGGGAGGGCAGAGGTGGCCACGGATCCCACCCATGGCATCCAGAACCGGAAGCAGAGAGGAACCCCACCAAAGCCTAGGGAGGAACTTGTCTGTAAACATTGCAGGGTTCAGGCCCGGTTCCATTTGGGGGGGGGTCGGAGCCTGCCTAACCATCCTGAACCCCCAAATGCCAATCCCTGCGGCCTCACCATTCTTAGGCAGGTTCTGAATGACGCTGACCGCTGCCTGGAACTGTTTCTGGCAGTCGGGCTCTTCCTTCTCAGTGCCCATGCTGCTCCAGACTCTGGAGTCCTACTTTGGAGCCGCTCTGCAAGAGTGAGTGTCAGTGTGACCGGGCCTCACGGTCCACGGTGGCACTGTGAGCCACTGGTCCAGTTCCCAGAGAGGCAAACTAAGTCCCAAGACCCGAGCGCTACCCCAGGAGGCCAGAAGTTGAGCTGAGGAGGGTCCTTCTCCTACCTCAAGGCAGCGTCAATGGACCCAGAGTGGCGAGGACCACCAGCGCGGCCATGGGTGGGAGGAAAGGCAGGTGGCAAGGGTCTCAGAGCCATTCACGTCCCCAGATGCACCCCTCTAGGCTGCCCATTTCCAGTTCCTGAACGGGCGAATCAGCGAGCGAGGAGGAGTCAGGGTGGGACGAACATCCCACCCTGGCTCCCTGCGCCCCGGCCCCCCACTCACCCTCGGGCGCCCACTGCCGGAACACCGGGGTCCTCTTCTCACCACTAACCAGGGGTTTCCGATTGACCTCTGGGTCCAGAGGGGCAGGAATAGGGCGGGACGCCAAGCGAGACTAAAGTGAAGCCAATGAGAGGCACCGTTTCACATTCGGCTTCTACACCCTAACCAGTCAGAAAGGCTCTTTCAAGACTATGCAAATAGTTTCGCCCTGCCGCTCCCATTCAGGAGGGGCTAAATTGTGGGTCGCACCCCGCGCAGCCCGACGGCCAGCGGCGGGCTGCAGCGCCTCCCGGTGGACACACCGAATGGTGGCCGAGTCCTCGCGCCCCCTGGTGGACACTCACGGGAGTTGGTCGGCTGATGCTCTTGGAACACGTCTACGCTGGCATTAGAAGCGAGTCCTGGAGCCCAGCGTTCCGCAGGAGGGACACTGGAGCTGAGTTTTGGAAAAACCAAGAATAAACCAGAAAAAAAAACGAAAAAGAACATTCCTGGAAGGAATCGAAGATCAAAAGCAGAGGCGAAGGTTTGACGATTAGAAAGTTCCAGATCGCAGAGGTGGTGGGGACTCAAGCTAGCCTACGGAATTGCTAGGACTCGGATACAGGGGGACAGAATACAGCGGGGCAAGTAGACAACGATTCTAGGACCCGAGAAACCCACCTTTTAGCGTGGGGACGCCTGGCCGCTGCCAAGCACCAGCTCTCTGCCCCTACCCAAAGCTTGTGCTCGAGGGCCACCCGGACATCCCACCCACCCTTCGCATTCACAAGTGTACATCTAACACTCCACCGGCACCCATAAAAGGAGGCTTTCCACGGGCTGACGTCACCAACACCTTCTCAGAGTGCGGTGCAGCTCCCCTGACCAAGGATGGAGTGTCACACGCTTTGGTGTACCAAGCCTCTTAAGCTTTGAACCCCAGAACCAGTTTCTGGACTCTAAACTTAGTCGCACCTCAGCCTTCAAATCAGTTAGCTTGGAGACCTCCACCTCTAAGGGGTGGCTACGGGCTCGGAGCCGGGAGGTTAATCGATGACGTCACTGCCCCAGCCTCCCGCCCCGATCCCTGCGCAGCTCTGTTCTGGGGTTCTATGGGCTTTCCCCCCCAACCCAAGGACCCTTTAGCCCAGGACGAGCCTCTGTAGACCTGTCCCCTGTCTGGTTCCCTAAGGGACCCTGCAAAGGTGGATGGAGTAGGGTCCTGGGTCTTAACGGAGTCAGGGTCCCCAGAAAGAAGTGTCTGTGCGGGTGGACAGTCCTCTCCCCCTAGGGTACTCAGTCCCCTCCCACAGGGACTCTGGCCACTCGTGGGGAGGAGATCCGGAGACCTCTGGGGAAACGGAAAGACGGACTCACTAGCAGGGGCGAACGCGCAGACACGGGGACGAAGAGCTCCGGGCCTGGGGTCCTGCAGGCACCTTGCGCCGCCCACTCTCGGCCTCGCTCCTCCCGCCGCCACCTCGCCCCTCCCTCTCTCCCTCCTCCCGAGGTCTCCTCCTCCTCCCGACTCTCACGGCGCCGCTAAGTTTCTTTGCTCGGGACCGCGCACCGGGCGCGGGCTGGGCGCGAGCCGTGTGCCGGTTGCCCCATCCTCGCGCACAGACCCCGGGCCAGCTCCGGCCCCCCTTGGACCATGCTGTGCGGCAGCTGGAGAAGGAGCCGTCGCTCTCCCGAGGAACCGCGGGTGGCCGCCCAGGTCGCAACGCCCCTCGCGCTCCCGCCCTCGCCCGCGTCACCGGACAGCGGCACCAAGAGGCCTGGGCTGCGGGCACTGAAGAAGATGGGTCAGTGACACTCAAGGATGGGTCCGGGTGGGCACGAACGGTCTCTAGGGACAACCTGGAAGGAGCGGGAGTACAGGCCAACTGGCTTCCCAGGGTGCGTGGCGCTAGGGAGGACCTGACCTAGAGCATCAGTTGGGGGTCACACCTGGGGTCACCACAGTCCCAGGCTGTGCCAGAAGGCCTGGATACCCTTACAGTCTCATCAGGAGGCGCCCGCCGGGCCGTGCTGAAGTGAGAATTGGGGCTAGGGGCATGGATAGGGTCGCAGGAGCGAGAGATAAAATCTTGGAGTTAGGTTGGGGATGTAGCTCAAATGGTAGAGTGCTTGCCTAGTTGTAGGTTCGATCCCCAGTATCACATTCCTAACAGCTCATCAACTTACTGTTGGTAATCCCCCAGCACTGGAGAGGTGGGGGTAAGTGGATCAGAAGTTCAAGGTCATTCTCCACTACACAGTAATTAATACATATATCCCAACCTGGGATATGAGACCCCTGTCTCAAAAAAAAAAATACATACTTTAAAAACTTGGAATGCACTCCCCCCCACCCCTCTAGTGCTACCTGAGGTCTACGGGCATCTCACAGACCTGCTGCTCTTGACCCTGAGGAGCCGGTTACAGATGTAAAGCCTCAGGAAGACTCCAGACTCCCAAGCCGGCCCTGTAACCCTCAGGTCCTCTCTGCCAGGAGCAGCCACAAAGTCCTGGCATGACTGGGGATGGTGTGAGACAGTCCAGGTTCCAGAAGTAGTGAAGTCACTAGTTGTCGAGGAGTCCCAGAGTCAGCTCAGGACTGTGCTGGTTTGCAGGTGTGTCAGACTCACCCTCCTGAGGCAGGTGGCCTAATCCCCATTTCATGGAGGAGGAAACTGACTCAGACATCAAAGAATTTTGTCTAGGGCACTCAGACTGTGTACTATCACAACTGACACTCTCACAGTCGGGGCAAGATGGGACTCACGGGGCTCGAACAAGGGGAACAAGGGAAAGCGCTTTATAAACTGTAAAGTGCTGGAAACTGAAGAGCTTTGTTGGAACTGCCACCCTCAAGACAGAATTTGGGGGTCCCGAATGCCAGCCTGGGCTTCCCTTCACAGCTGTCCTCTCCTCTTCCTCATTCCATCTGAATGTATGGAAGCCACTCTGAGCACTATGCCTAAGGCAGGTCTTTACCCTGCCCTCCGTGAGGTCATTCAAGAGGTCATCAGTATTTACGGACCCAACAGCAGACAGGCCAGTCACAGTCCTGCCCTCAGAGAGCTAAACGACAAAGTGAAGGAAGGGGTCAGAAGACAGGCCTTGAGGAAGGGGGAGTAGATCGCGATGCTGGGGAAACAGGGGGGACCCCACTGAACCCCAGAACTTAAAGGATGCGCGTATGGATGGGAGAGAGGCAGAAGGACCCCTTGGGGTCCCTCGCTTTGTTTAGATGGCAGTAAGGGTCCCAGAAAGGCCACCGGCAGGAACCGTAAGTGAGTTAGAGGAGTGGATGGACAGGAGGGTGGTCCAAACGGGGGCGAAAGGAGGCCTGGTTGGAAGGAGGCAGAGGAGTAGCTTGGGAAGCAGTATTGGGACTCAGGCGGTGTGGCGTGGGGAGGAGGATCCAGAGCCACCAATATGACTGGGACGACTCCCTATGAAATCAGGAGTCTCTGGTTAGAGGTGGCACTATTCTGTGACCTCATGGTTAGGGGTTGGCCGTGTGAGGTGACCTGCCACCGAGGCAGGACAGAGCTGTCAGGAGAAGCAGCCTGAGCCATTGGCCCCTAGGGGTTATGGATGTGGCTGGAGACAGAGACGAAGCTATCACACACCAGCTCTCCTTTGCTCCTGTGTCCATTTTTGCTGAGCCCCATCAGTGGCCACAGCGCTAGGCCAGGGGCTGAGGCCACAAAGGAGGGTGACCGAGGCTTGGCCCAGAGGCACATAATGTGCTAGGAAGAGACTTGTAGACACGTAATTACAGGAGAGCACTTGGGCAGGAGTCAGCTGAGCATGGCTGCACTGGAGCTCTGGCTGGTTCATCGTGGAACTATGTACATATCAGAATGTCATCTGTGCCCTTCCTGCCACTACTGGCTGGTTCTGTCCCGCTGAGTGATTGCTGAGTGACCATAGAGAAAGGAATCCCAGTGTGTAGGGAATGTTACTTCCCCCAAGCCATGCCGACCTCTGTGCTGAGCGCGGGGATAAGGCAGAAACAAACCCAGTGGGCCTAGGGCCCAGCCCATGGTCCCCAGATGGCTAAAGCCTAGGCCTGTCACCAAGGTAACTCCCATCCCCATCCGCCCCTCCCGAGATGACCCCCATCACCCCCGATCAGGCTAAGAGAAAACAGATCTTATTTCAGGTCAAGGAACTGGAGCAGGAGTATCTCAGGGGACCCGAGGGAGGAAAAGGCCTGTGGAGCCACCGTAGGGAACTAGGCCAAGCGCAGGGGAGGAGAGAATCTGAGTGGGAGCCATTTGCAGGGCCGCCGGGCTGGGCCTGAACATTACTGTCCACTGAGCTTGCCGCAGACTTCATCCTGCTTATCTCCAGTCATTCCTGGAGCATGTGTCCTCCTCCATGACAGAGAGACAGGAGACGGCAGGGTCAAGCCCCTTGCCAGGCAGCCATTAAGAAACCCTGGCTGCCTGCCACCCACAGTCAAGGTTCCAATGACACACTTTATTATCATAATTAATGAGTACCGACACCTCCAGATCACCATGCCATGTGCTCTGTGTATCATCTCATTTAGCGTCCACAGTTCCATGAGATAGACAGTGCCACGAGCTTCATTTTTTTCAAGAGATAGCAGGCTCAGAGAGGGATCGAGGCCAGAAGTAAAGCCAGCTGTGGTGACCCATGCCTGGGATCCCAGCCCTGGAGAGACGGAGAGGCCAGCCTGGTGGTGTACATACTGAGTTCCAGACCAGAAAGGGCTGTGTATCGAGACTTTGTCTCCAAAAAAGAAAAAAAAAAAAAAAAGCTAAAAGGGATGGAGAGATTCGAACCCAGGCAGTATGGTCCAGAGTCTGGGCTCTAAACACAGAGATGAAAGAGATGTTCATCTGGGAAGGGCCTGCTGTTCCTCACAGATGAACTCCCAGGGTTGCCAATGAAATATAGGATGTTAGGATGTTAAATTGATTTGATTTGGTTTGGTTTTGGGTGTTTTTGTTGTTGTTGTTGTTTTGGTTTTTCGAGACAGGGTTTCTCTGTGTAGTCTTGTCTGTCCTGGACCTTGCTGTTTAGGCCAGGCTGCCCTCAAACTCGCAGAGATCTGCCTGCCTCTGTCTTCCGAGTGCTGGGAGAAAAGACATGCGCCACCAATGCTCGATGCTTAATTTGAACGTTGGGTGGACAATGAATAATCTTGGACATAGAGATGTATCTGTCTACCTCTAGAATGTGTATGTAAATTATAAATCCATGGTCACGTCTAATTTTTTTTTGGTCTGGTGCTGAGGATGGAACCTAGGGCCTTGAGCATGCTGGACAGGCACTGAACAGCATCCTCCGCCCCATAGGACATGCTTACACTAAAAAGGTATTTGTTGTTTATCTTAAAGCCACGTGTAAAGGATTGCCTCCATTTTTCCTTCAGCCACCCCACTCTCCCCAGCCTGTCTGCGCCTGTGCCTTCATGCCCCGCCCAGACCCCTAATCCTCTCAGCGTACAGAGAGCTGAGTAGGCACGATCTGGTTCACACCCTCCCTGCTTGCTCACTCTGACGAGCACTCCTGGGTGAGGGGCCTTTCCCGATGGCCTGTCCAGGATGTTCCCTGCAGGGTGAGTGGGGCTGGCCTGATGGCACGAGG